CTGGGAAGCGGGGCAGAGACCCGCTGAGCCCACAAACCTCAACGTATGTTTATTCACAAACACAAGTCGGAATCCGGGCAGGGAGTGTGGACGCCTCCGGAGGCCTTGCTAGATGCAGAACCCAGGCCCGGGGTGACCCACCCTTCTCTAGGGGAGCAGCCCGCCCTGGGGAGGGCGCCCACGCTCCTGCCTCCGGGCGTCTCTGAGCCTCAGGCTCCTTCTTTCCCCCTCTTTTAAAAAAATACATTTTTATGGATCTCAGAGCGGAAGGGAGAGGAGGAGAGAGCGAGCAACATCAATGATGAGAGAGAATCATTGATCAGCTGCCTCCCTACTGGGGATCGAGCCCACAACCTGGGCCCGGGCCCTGACTGGCAATCAAACCGTGACCTCCTGGCTCACGGGTCCCTTCTCTGTGAGTGCGGCAGCTCCCTCCCGGCATGGGCAGGGCCCGAGTTCGGCTTTGCAATGATGGCTTCTCGAAGCATCCCTGGGGGAGGGGGGCGTGAGGCGTGTGGCCGCTGATCTGTGAGGGCTGGCTTCCTCCCAGAGGCAGCAGCGTCGGGTAAACCTTCCCTGTGCCCCAGCCCCACCCTGGCTGCCCCCGGTTTCCACAGGTGGCCCTCCCTGGCCACCGAGGTGGGGACTGAAAGGGCCTCCCCCCAGGATGTCCCTGCGTCCCCCCGGCAGGTGGGCTCTGCCATCACCCCACTCCAGAGGCAGGCGGGCCGCATCTCCTTTCTTTCTCTTCTTTGTTGTTCACTTTATCTTTCTGAACAGAAGTGGTTTCGCACACACGATTCTACGGCTTCTTCACTGGCTACGGGCAACCCTCGTGTCATAGGAACCACAGTCACAGCAAACGGAGAGACCTCATTCCTCACGGCCGCTCAACCCATCCCCTCGTGGCCTCCTGGGGGACACGTGGCTGCCCCCCACCCCACTCCCCACACCCCCCTCAGCCGTAAACATCTGCACCAGGGGTGCGGGCTCCTGCGCCGGCTTCACTAGTGCATCCACCAACACACCTTCAGCCTTTCCCCGCCTGGCCTCAGAACCAATGTTAGGCGTGAACATCAAAATAACACTGCGCAGCCCGGCCGGCGGCTCAGGGGTTGAGCACTGACCTGTGAACCAGGAGGTCAGGGTTCGGTTCCCGGCCAGGGCACAGGCCCGGGTTGTGGGCTGGATCCCCAGCAGGGGGCGTGCAGGAGGCAGCCTATTGATGTTTCTCTCTCATCGATGTTTCCATCTCTTCCTTTTCCCTCTCCCTTCCTCTCTCTCTAAAAATCAATAAAAACATATTTTAAAAAATAACACTATTTAAACATTGCTCCTTTGTTTGTTTAATTTGGGGTTCCCACCCCGATTTCATTTGGGGATAAGAGTGTGAACCCCCTGGATTGGGATTTGCGGGGACTCCGGGCTCCTGTGACCTGTGACCCTCGAGCATCAGGGTGGGGCAGTGAGGGGTGATGGGAGCCAGGGGACTCGGGAAAGGAGGGGCACATCTCACTCCCTCTGCACCCGCAAGGAAATGGGGCACCAGGCCTGGGAGGACCCACCGGGCCACCGCAAGGACATGCCTGAGATGGGAGCCACGGGGGTCTGGACGCGGGATTCCGATATCCACCCATGATATCCATGTTCACGGGGAGGAGCCACAGCAGGGAGATGAGAACACAGCCCGGGGTGAGGGCCTGCCCCGGCCGCCCGTCCCATCTCTGAACGGCGCTTCACCCCCACAGGAGCCGGCAGCGAGGGAGACAGGACAGGACATTCTCCCCAACGCCCCTTGTCCAAGGTCCAGGCTGAGTCAGGGAGGTGCCCGCTGCCTAAACAAACTCAGCCCGGGGCCCGCCCCTCCTAGAGCCTCAGGCCCCGCCGGCAGGTGCTGGGCCCCGTGGTTGGGGGGACGGATGGGGCAGGCGGGCGAGGCTCCTGGCCGCCCACAGTCCCCGGCAGGGGCTCCTCCTGGGACCCGTGCCCCAGGGCTGATGGTGCCCGCGTGGCCAGCACCAGGGGAGGTCGGGCCTGTGCCTGCGCCTGCACCTGCCAGGCTTCAGACGGGGTCCCAGACCTGCTGGGAGGGGCCTGAGTTTACTGGGGTCCCCCGGCTTCGGGTGCAGCCTGGGCTGTGAGAGGCCCCCCTTGGGAGGAGGGGCTGCGGTTGGGGTGGTGCCAGGGAATTGCTTTATGAGGCTGCCGGGCCCAGCAGAGCCTCCACCTTCCGGCCGGCAGGGCCAGCAGATGGGCTTTAGTGGCCGCCCCAGGAGGCAGGAAATGCCCGGCCTTTCACATGCAGATGCCGGGGGAGCTTTGTGCTCCGCCGCCTCTGAATGGCTCTCCAATAAAGCGCCTGCTGGGGGGACCAGGCCGGTTACAGATGTCCCAGGACCCCCCCTCCCCCCCCCCACCCCAGCAGTCCAGGGCAGAGAAATCACCATCCCCAGTAGCTCCAAGAAGGGACCACACTGCCCGGGAATGACAAGGGGCAGAGTCACCGTGGCCTGGAAGCCTGGCCTCCTGCCCTCCCATCTGGGGCCCTGCTGGCCCAGAGCCGTCTTCAGACCCTGGCGTCACTGGATCTGCGAGGCCACGCCCCCTGACTCCCCATCCCCTGGCCTCTCCCCCTAACACCAGCCTTTCTGGTCGCCCCACCCGGACAGGCAGCTTCGGGGGCAGGGACGCCCTGCCGTGCCCGCTGCGGTGTCTGTCGGATGCAGAGCCCTCAGTAGGCACTTGCTGGGTGTGGGTGAAGGCATGAGAGGCAGTGTGGTTGGCGGAGAGAGCCGGGCTCTGCAGTCGGGCGGATGTGGGCGCATCCTGGCGGTTCCGAATCTCCGAGCCTCGGCCCCGCTTTGGAAAGGGGTGGACACCCACGTGGGGGCTGGCTGCGCGGGTGGGTGTGGGGTCCAGCACCTGCGTGGGACGGGCAGCCTCCCTCAGTCATCGGCGACTGCTGTATGGTCGACGCGGTTTTAAAGAGCAGCGTTTATCCTCCCCATGGCTCAGTCCCCAAAAAGGTGGAACTTCTCAGGAAGTCAGAGGACAGCTGTCGCCACAGAAACCTAGGGAGAGGCTGGGGGTGCTCCACCTGCTGGGGGTGCCCGAACCGAAGGTGCTATTTGGGAGCCTGTGGTCTGGTGCTGGGAGCTGAGGTGGAGGCGAGCTCTCCCCCACGGACCCCCCCCCCCCCCCCCCC